ATTTTGGTGAGTTTTCGAGTATGTTTAGGGCCTCAAAAACGCGTGTCTTTGGCACGAATTATAATAATAATCCGAGCAGTTCCAATAGGGTCTTCGCACACTTTTGGGTGCTCGGACTCTAATAAAGTGAATTCATCCTTTTTGCCTGTTATAGCTCCGCTGCACTAAAGTGTGAAGGAAAGCTGATAAAAATAGCCGTCGACTGTGGTTAAGTTTGGCCTGTTGGAGGCGGAGTGATCATGAGCTGGCATACAAAGGTCAAAGTGGCTGAATCCGACCAGTCACAACACTAGCAGCAGCTTGGAAATGAAGTCTGGTCCTGATATAGCAGCAGATGTCTTGTGCTCGCTCATAAATCGCAGATATTGCGGTTGCACTGTCAGCCGGTGCCTGTGTCACACAGAATTTTGTTTCTGGTCCTGCCTGGAAATGCTGCCCCCCTCTTCAAAGCTCTGTAATGGAAAGCAGCTCAGCCTGTCATGAACTTGATCAAAACAGGACATCAATCAGCACAGCCCTGGCTTTCATCTTTCACTAAGCCACTAGCTGTCACTCTGTCTTCATATTCTTGTTCAGCGACTAATTTTATGTTTTTGTCTTCAGCTGCTCAGTTTGCGTCCCGTGTGTTCTTGTTTCCAGCAGGCTGACCTCTGCTTTGTTTATTTAACTCTCTCCCAACTGTCATGAAGTCAGTGTGGGAGGCTGGCAGCAGAAAACGAGCGTTTCACACCCACCTATCTATCAGTTCAACCTGTCCTGAAACCATCTAACCACACGGGAGAAACTCTCACACGCAAACCGAGTCGTCTGTGAGCTGTGACAGAACATCCTGCTCATGCAGTGAAGCGCTGCGCTCTGTCAGAGCAGGTAAACCAGAAGAGGATGTGCTGTGTATCGAACAGAGAGTACTGAGAGGAACGCAGCAAAGGAATGAACAGACAAACGAGGAGTGTGTTTTCGACCAAATTCACGTCTTGTTCCCAGCACAAGGGAAGTGGTCGGTGCGTCGCAGATACTTACTGTACGCACAATGCTCCAAACAGCTATTTTTAAACCCAGATGTTCACACACTGCATCCTTTGTATGATGACAGACAAAAAAAACAAACAGAAAAAGAGAAACAACACGGCTGTATGTCTGCTACTGTCTGTCCTGTTAATGCTCCTCTGTGCTCACCCAGTGTCTCCATCAGAAGCTGAGTGCAGGTCGTGTCTCTGGCCAGAGACGGACCTACAGCCGGGTGGATGCACATGTTTGCCAGCAGCCTGACCAGCTTCACCAGCACGTCGTCGGCCTCCTGCGCGCTAATGGGAGGAGTGGGATACCTGCAGGGGGGCGGGGCTTCCTCCTGCGTGGATGTGTGCGCTGACACATCCCTCCGCTGGTAGCTGCTGTACAGTCTGAGGAGTGTGTCCATACAACTGTCGCACTGGAAGAGCTTCTGGCGAGACTCATCGCTTTTGGCTGTCAGGTTCCCGAGAGTGAAGAGCAGGCGGACGACGAGGTCCTGTAGGAGAGCAGTGGAGATCAGCTGTCAATCACCTGTTAACGGCTTCCCAATTAAATAAAGTCAGCAGTCAATTCAATTAGGTATTTAATTAAGCTGCAAAAGTCAGTAAAAGGATAAAACGTGTTGGGAAAAGTTTCGTTATAGCTTCAAACAGTTTGCAGTTAATCTGAAATAAACAGTCTGTAGATAATGTGTGAGGTGTGTAATGAGCTCTTTCCTGGGTTTATATTTACCAGCTGGACGCATACAGAACTTTATAGACGGTAACTAACATCTCATGTCATGTCTAATAATCTGCTCACTGTTTCCTTAAACACAGCATGAAAGTGGTCTTAAAGGGTTAAATCAAACCATTCATCCTGAGCTGTGCACCTGGTGACACGACCACTGAGTTAATCCACAGTCTTCTCTGGCTTTAGAGGACAATGATCAGATGGTGTGAGCAGCACACAGACACTCCTCTAACCAGATGCTATAAAAAGCCTTCCTAAAACGCAGCTTTATTCAAATGACTCGATGCCACAGATGACAGGAGAAAGACGAGAACGAGCTGCTGGATGTTGGCATGTCGGTTAGGGCTGTGGCTTGAATGTCCACAACGTCGCCATTTGTCGTCTAAGAAATCCTTTAAGATCGCAGGCAGTCTGCCACGCGATGCTCTGGGTGGACGTGTGAGAAAACGTGACCAGCTCCCAAATACTAAGTGCAACTAAACAAAAAATCTAAACCCAGCACTGACTGTAAAAACACACTGAGCACCAAAGAGCCCAACGTGATGTGATCAGATGTCTAATCCTAATGAACCGAACATAAGGAGGTATTACATTTAGAAAAACCTCATTTCTTGGAGGGCTGGGACCGATATATGTCTTTAATTTCTTATAAAGCACTTTGTTAGTTCATTAGTTCATCATCTGAACAGTTTGGGGTCAGTTCGAGCTCCGGTGCAGCAGAGCGTCCTGACCAGAAAGAGGCTGCATCACTTCACCTGCAGCACGGTGAACCTAACCCTAACCCTAACCCTATCAGCGCCACTCACTCCCCAGAGAGAGCTCAGAGCTGTGTGGACGTGCTTTCACTGCAGCTACACCCCGTCTACCAAGAACAGCTACGTCACACTCCGCTTAGTGAACAACACGCTGAGCAGGTGAGCAGGAACACAACATTTCTCCCATGAATGCGTGATGACATGCTGAGGATGGGACAGGCTGTCCCGGGACCAGGAGCTCCTTCATGTTTTGCTGCCCGTTGTGTGTGTGTGTGTGTGTGTGTGTGTGTGTGTGTGTGGGTGTGTGTGGGTGTGTATTTACTCCAGATGAGATTAAGAACACATGTCAGTCACTCCTGATTGCCAGAGTCCCACCCTGTTCTTCTCCTCTTTCCTCCCCCTCCACCCCTACTCAGGCTCACCTCCCATATTTTTTCCTCTTTCTCCTCCCTCCTCCCTTTTCCTCGACTAACTGACCCCCACCTCCTCCTAGAATGATTAAATGTCAAAACACACACGGCAGAGCGCTGGAGGAGGGAACGTTGTGTGTAGATGGACACGGTGTCCCGTAGACGAGCTGGGACTTGAAGGGCGTAAACATCCTACTCTGAGAGGACACATGCTCAGTTGCATCATGAATGCTGGAAAAGTTCATTTTCACTTCTCTGTGTTAACCACAAACTCCAGCAGTGCACAGAAACACACAGGAGGATCTGTGTGGACTCACCTGCTTCTGGTGGTGTTTGCTCAGCAGTTCTAAAAATAGCTGGTAGCAGTCGGGGGTCTGGACCAGAGCGAAGCGGCACTCAGAGTAAGAGGAGAGTTTACTGAGGGAGAGAGGGGACAACAAATACCACTCGTCATTGCTCTGGCTAACGGCTCTGCTGACTAAATATGGTGATACCAACCAGCGCTGCTAATGGATGAGCTGCTCTGGGCTGGATGTTGATTCTGTGTTTTCATTATCTTGGGCAAAAACATCCAGAAGGTTTTTAGCGTCGTCAGTGCTGGTAAAACAGCTTTTCTTTACATTTGACTGAATATTGCTCCACACATGGATGAGGAACCTGCACCAGAGCAGGAGGCCGGAGAGATGATCAGAGAAAAACGGGAGTCCAAAGAACAACGAGCACATCCAGTCTGAACTGTTTCTCTTTCACGCACCATCATATAAGGTGTAAGCGACATTTTTAGCCTAAGTCGGATTGGTCTGTTCTATAAATGCCCTGCAGGCCTACAGTGCTGTATTTTATGTCTGTGCAGCCCAACTGCTCATCACTTTGACTTTCTTTTAGTTCATAATACTTCATATTTCTAATTTTCTTAAATGAACATTTTTAGACTTTTTTCTTCCATAAATGTGACCCATGAACATACAGAAGTCTACATCAGAGTTGCTGGATGTGTTTTCATCAGAGCATGCTGTGCGGCTGATAAATGTGAGTGAAGCCAAACAGAAGTCTGCTAACAGATGTGCAACCACCTGTCATCTGATAAACGCTACCGAACACTGGAAGCTCCTGTTCTGTCAGTTTCAACTTCACACAATGACTTCATGAAAGACAAGGAAAGAAGAGCGGGACGGTGACGAGGAGACTGATCGCTGGAGGATGAAGCCAAAACAAGTGGCAGAGAGTAAAACCTGAACAATCGCCTGTTTGGATTCAGATCAGGACACGCTATGAGGGTGAACTTCAGTGAGTCATAACCAGAGTTGAGGTGTGGCATCGTGTAGTACCTGTAGATTCTGGAAATGTTGGTGCAGATGTCCTGGTCTTTAAAGTGCCGACGCAGCACCAAGCAGAGCTCTGGCAGGATGGTGAAGGAAACAAAGAGCGGACGGGATTCAGGGTGATCAGCGAGGTTCCTGAGGGTCGCCGTCAGCTGCAGAGGCCAGAGAAGAGAAACCAGGTTGTACATGTGGAATCTCAGCAGCCACTGTTACATGTCTGTGCTGTGGGTAGCACACGATGTCGGGCTGATTCTTATTAAAGCCGGCTGCTGGACTGTACAGGACGCAGCTGAGCGACAGGAAACTGTTCAGTAATGAAATGAATCATTCCATCACAAGAAGGAAACAGTGATTTCCAACACACGGCCGCACTGAAAGTTCTGGAAAGTCATGGTGTGCTTATTTCCCTTCTCTAACGGGATAATGAGCTGTGTGAGATATCAAATAAAACACTGGTTCAAGATGTTTGCTTGAGCCAGCTTATGCGGTTTGCAGCAATCATATCCAGTGGAGTGAAACAGGGTGTGTTTTGGCCTGGCCAGCAGCGAGCATCACGCTCACCCAGCAGCTTTTGTACCAGACAAAAACAAAAACATTTTTGTCTAATAGCGGAAAAATCTGCATCAGCCAACAAATACAAAAAGAAGCACTTTTACCATTTGGTTCCCTTTTTTATTGACATGGTGTAACTTTGTGGTTTTTACTCAAACTGCCTGCAACTGAAAAGGAGAATTCAAACGATACCTTCGACAATAACAAACCCTCTGAGCTCTAATGAACATTCATCAGGAGGATCTGTGACACACCTGCACGGCGATGTGACCTGCTGTGGTGAAGCTGGTGTCTTCTACTGTGCAGAGCTTCCTGATGAGTTTCTGAGCCACACCGATGCAGTTCTTATCCAGCAGGAGTCTGACCACGGTCGTGTTTCCAGACAGAAACTTCAAAGTGCCAACACAATACAGCAGAGCTTCTCCAGATGCAGACACATCCTCACTGCAGAGGACATCCAGAAGCAAGTCTAGACAGCAGGAGAAAACATCCATCATTACCGTTGGTGCTACTGGCCATGACAGGGGTTCACAGAAATGAGACTAACTAGACCCAGACAGGTGAATATTAACCCATAAGCAACTGTATTAAAGAACACAACACACTACAGAACAGGAAACTGCTGAAAAACGTCCTCCTGACCAATGATGGAGCTGCTCTGGAAGAGGACGTCGTTGCTTTCACTCCGGCTGATCTGAAAAACCAGCTTGCAGATGTTGAGCAGGTTGTTTCCACTGACGCACAGCTGGAGAGAAAAACGTAAAAAAAACTTTCAAACAACTTTTGCACTGAGCAGCGACACACAAACACCCACAGACACACGTTTGTGCAGAACTCACAGACGACTCACAGTGAGGCAGAGCTCGGCAATGTGCAGGTTGAGCCGGGCCGAGCTGAGGTCAATGAGGCGGAACAGTGTTCGAAGTATCCCCGACCTCCTCTTACAGCGCCGGCCGAGCATGTCCGCTGCTGCCAAGGTGCCGTGGAGACCATCGCACAAATCACACAGGCGGTCCAGCGAGTCCTCAGGGCTGCCTGGCATCGCAGGCCAGCATCGCATGAAAAGTATGTCAAGCTCAGGACAACATGTCAAACGCTCACTGAGAAAACAGACATTCCTAAATTCAAACACCCACTGGTGTGTGTGTGTGTGTGTGTGTTGGCCAGTGTGTGTCCATATAAATACAGACCAGGGACGTTTTATGGACGCTGTGGTGTGTCTGTAGAATATGCAGGCGGTCTGCTTCATGGTGTACAGGAATGTGAGGTTAAATCCTCAACATCAATAATACATTGCTTAGCAGAAAATTAACATCCTCCTCCCTGTTCTAAGAAGCTGCTCCGAGTTTCAACGGTCAGATGCTGCTGAGGAACAATCCTGCAACAGGCAGCAGCAGAGGAAGAGAAAGGGTGGAGTCTTTTCCTTGTTTTTGAGGTAAAATAAATGTTTTCCTTGCATAAATAACAGGGTTTGGCCCTTTCTAAAAAGGATTGGACACAGTCTCACACTCTGCTGCCATTTCTCACTGAGTCTGTAAGGTGTTTTATGCATGAGCCAGAAGGCCCTTGGTATCATAAATATTTAATATTTATCTTTCAAATGAATTTTCCATTAAATTTGTAGAGTGTTAAAATATTTACAGCCATAGATTTCATTTCATGGCTGCCAGACTGCAGTTTCAGGCGAAGACAATTCTGTATAGATGCCAAACAAAACACGGTTCTGTTTGTCTTTCTTCAGCGGCTGAAGTGACAGAGCTTCTGCATTGTGTAAGACTTCATGTATGACTTTCTGCCAGCGCTGAAACATCTATTTTTCATCCTGCAGTTTGAAAATGAACTGTAATAAGGATGCACAAGGAAGAAGAGCTAACAAGAGAAGCGTATCTCTAATAAACGGACCAGAACCAGTGCAGCCACAACGCATTTTAGATTCTTAAACCTAAAAAGGAGAAATGCCGTAGCTGGCTTCATGTGTTTACTGTTTCTGATGCTTTTCTTATTGTATCGGCCACAATACCTGCAGCCACACTCTCCAGCTGCTGAAGCAGAGGAGCGATCACATCATTCCACAGCAGTGACTCTGCATTCTCCTCTGTGCTGTTGTCTCCGAACCCCGGCTCTGAAATGTGCAGAGAGAATTGCAGTTACCCAATTACCACCTCCAAACACAGGCGCGGTGAGCACGGTTCACAAGTTCACTGTCTTAAAATAAAACAGCAGGAAGTTTGATGCCACATTGAAAGGTCACCATCCACAGCAACACTTCCTCCGATGTGTGTCTGCGAAACAGTCTGCATGTGGGCATGTGAGTGTGTGCATGTGCGGTGAAAACACGTGGGCAGTGTGTGTTTGTGCATGCAAATGTCTGCGATGTCTCAGACGCCGTGCACCTTTTTGGTGTTTTTTGCTGAATATTTGCATACCCCCTTGCTTGGTGTGATCCAGGAAACTGTGGTTGCACAAACCAACAGCTCTCTCAGCGATTGGCTGGCTGCCTGTCATGGTGGAAATTGGGCCCTTAGCAACAACACCCCAATCAAACTCTGACACTTTTGAGGTTTGTTCAGTTACAGAGAGCGAGGCGTGTCTCCGCTGCTGGTGAAACAACATCTCTGGGCTCCAGAGTGTGACATTATACGTATATTACTGATTTAGTCACAGCTTTATTAGAAATTAATTTGATGTAAAATCTCAGAGTGAATGAACAACATCAGGCAGCGCTGTAGCTGCACTTCACCTCTACAGGCCGCACAAAACACACCGTTTGTGTTAAATATACCCGGCTTTGTAAAAATAAGACTGTACGGTTCATTTAGTGCGTCTGGACAAACCTGTTCTGTGTTCTGCTCTGCTCTCTGTGGGTCCTGAGTCAACACCGGGCGGCTTCAGTCTGCTGCTGACACAAAGGAACACAAGAACATGGAGAGTGAGGTTATATCAGATCTAGAGACGAGACAAAATGTTCTTGTTTCATTACATGTAGCTGACGTCTGAAACTGTGGCTCAGTTAGACAGTGACATAATTACAAAAAGTTAAACTAAAGAATAAAAGCCTGAATCTAAACTGCTGTAAATTGCTGACTTTATATTCTCTCCATAAGACCGGAGGTGTGTTTCCATCAGGCTCCACTGGGTGTCGCTGTTGCAGCAGAGGTTGAGGCATGTGCAGGGTCTGTTGTCTCTGTTCAGTGTGTACATCTACACGTATGCAGATACATGTGTGTCTGTCTGCCAGTTTGTGTGTGACTACCTTTAAAGTGTGTGTGAGTCTGTGTGTGTGTGAGGTTGTGTGTGTGTGTGTGTGAGGCTGTGTGTGTGTGTGTGTGTGTGTGTGCCCGTGTGCAGCACCAACTGCGATCCCCAACAGACAGGAACTTAGGTCTTGTGTTTGTGGGCAGTCTGGTTAAAGCTGTTGTCACTGTGAGCCGTCTCCAGCGTCTCTGTAGCTGCTCCCAGACTCACGCCCAGTGTCATGCTACGCTATGTGTCGTGGCTTGCCCCTGCATGTCACTGTTACATCTTCCTCTCCAGGCTGCACTGCTCCACTCACACGCAAGGAAAATTACTCTGAGTGTATTCTGTGGCACATGACAGGTGGTGTGTCTTATGACTAAGTACGAGAGAAAATAATTATTAATAAATACAGATAAACACGCAGCAGCATGTTAAGTCATCCTTATCACCTCTGCTACTGTAAGATCTACTCCACCAATCACACAAAAGGAGTGAATCAGCTTAAAGTGGAAAGATGTAATCGCTCCCATAAGAGACAAACATCACGCTGTGTTCAGACCAAAGCTTCAGCATCACATCAGCTCAAAACACTAAATCTCAAGATGGATTATTTATTTGAGCTTTTACACACAAATGACAGATATTAAAAAATATATATCCTTTTTATTTTATTGGAGCATCATCGCAAAGTGTATGTAGGATGATGTAAACGTTGGTGTACAGTGAGGCATGAGGCTATTACTACAGAGCACACTATTAATTTGGAGGCTTAGTGATTGGCTGAGGCTGGCACACAGGGCATGTGCAGCAGGGAGTGCTGGCTGAGGCATGCTGCAGTGAATGTCAGGGGGCTTTGGCTATGTATGATAGGATTAAGAGGCTGATAATAAGGCCTCTTTGTGTGATTCTGCATTCTCTGAGACATGACCTCATCCCTGTCTTCGGCCTGGCCAGTGCACTGCAGTCACAATACATGCTGCTGCCAGCCTTGCCCAGATGGGCACCCAAATCTAATAGAGAGCCATTTGGAGCTATAGAGCTCTGGCTTATTGGAGAAAAAAAGAAGCTAGTGGATGTCTAATCTCCCCTATCTTTATATCTCATCCAGCTCATCATATTAATCTGTCATGCTGCGTCCATTTCCACTTGCAGTCAGTGTGTTTCTGCCTGAGCTGGTCTGTCTAAAGCACCTTTATGTAGCTCACTGCTACACTGGAGAAGCGTGCTTCAAAAACTCTGACCCAACACTTGTAAAGAAGAGGAAGTCTTTAAGTGTGTCCTATTTAATCATAAAGTGACCACAGTCTAATCACCGGGACGTCTCTTTGTCAGCAACAAGTTACACAAACATTGCGTGTTAACTGGGCTGACGAGGGAGGAGGTGCTGCTGCAGGCAATGGCCCAGATTTCCTGTAAAAGTGTTTTATGGTCTGTCCCCCCTCAACAGCCCCAGCTGCCCCACCCAATCGATAGGCGGATGGATTGTAACGACAGCCCCCGACCTCATGCCCAGAGTTATGCCCCTCGTGCTGACACACAGCTGATGAGGTCGGCAGAAAGAACCGAGCTTTCAGCCTCCCTGCGCTGTGAAAGTGTAAAAGCTGACACATGATAGTAATGACAGATAGAGGCAGTTTCATCGGGAATGAAACTCGCCAAGAAGCTGCATTTAGCTGAAGATATAGTGTACGGTGAAGTATACGAGGGTTTAAACCGGGGTCGAGTGTCTGAAGCTGAAGAATTTGTTCTGTTCGTCGGTGACACTGGTGCTGGTCCAACGGACTTCATACATTCAGCTGTCACTGTTGGTAGCAGAACACATGGAGGAGGTTTTGGCTTTGGGTCAAGAACATTATAGCTTTAAAAGCCTCCTACTTTGAAAAATGTAGTAACGTGGTAATTAAAGGAACAATCCTTATTTTTTGACTGTACATATTAAATCCTCATTAAGATTAATTATTGAAGAGCCTGAGCTACCGAAGCAGCATCAGCATGTGTTCCTCAGGTGATCATGCTTTAGCTGATGTGTTGTATTAAACAGCTTTATAAAACACCGTCTGATTGATATGGTCGATGTCAAAGAAATGCCAATTAATCTAATAGTTATAGCGATGTTTTCAGGCATTTAAGCAAAATCTAAACCACAAAAGATTATATTAACATCAGCGTCACTAAAGCATTTCCTGCTGTGATCTTCTCTGACAAGGTGTCCGCATTAGCAACAGCATTAAGCAAAAAGACCTTCTGTCAATAAAAAGCAATCAGAAAGGCAAGAAAGCAACGAGGACGATGTGATGAAAGGCAGAAGGAGGTGATGGAGGCACCGTCACTTCCCTCCAGTAACGGCTGCCTCTGCAACCTGGTGCCAATAAATCTTCAAGTCATTGTCGCTACGGTCAAAGAGAGGGAGCCGGAGAGGGCGGAAGGCCAGGAGGAGAAGGACCGAATGTGTGCTGGAAGTCAAACAGAGGGACAGAACGCTCACCTTTCACTGGCTGTTCTGCGTGGGCCCGGTTTGCCAGGACCACTGTCTGCGCTGGAAACTCGTTTAGCCGACGGCTGCTGTTGTCTCGGGGCTGCGTTTAATCTCTCTCTCACTGAAACACATGGAAAAGACGCGACAAGCAGTCATTTACAGGCTGCTGCTGTACGCTGAGGAGCTGATTCATACAACAAGCACACCGTACAGCATATCGTATATGCACAGGTAAACTCATCCAGGTAGCTGTCTCATTGTTTTAAATGGCAGGGCAGTGTGTGCAGGAGAAGGTTTGAGGGGGAGAGCAGTCATTTTCCACTCAGAACAGCAGCAGTGAATTATGCTTTTCAGCCCAATCCGACCACCGAGAATGTAAATCAGGTAAAACGTCAGCATGTGAACGGCTCTGTTCGTTTCCCTTTGAGAAAACTGCTTCAGCACAAGCAGAAGATTTACAGTGATGCAACATAAAATAAAAACAGGTGTGTTGTTTCCTAGATTCATGTTGTACCCACTAAACACAGTCTAATAAATTCTGATATCAGCGTTTTATTTAAGCGCAGTCTGGATGATTCTTACCAACAATAATTTACTTCATGTGACTAATATGTGACTTTCTTTTCTAGCATCCCTCCTGAGCTGAGGCACACTTTGTTTTCCTTCCTTACCATTTGTGAGTCCTTCTACAGGCGGCAGCGTGGTGAGCGATCCGGCCCTGAGGAGGCGGGCCCGTGACCCTGCCAGCCCCCTCCTCGCTGCAACTGGGTCAGTGGGCGGTTTGGGAAAGGCCTTGGATGGATCCTCGGCATCGCAGGCGACTGGAAACTTTGGCTTCTGCCGCAGCACAAACACATCACCAGCGTGTGATGGAGAGTTAGCCAGAGGATTCATTCACAGGTCACATCGCTTTTATGCAAAACCAAATCCCATAATTTCTACAGCTATCTCTGAAATGCCAGAAATGTATATCAGGATCCCACTCATTAAAACCAGAGAAGCTTTCATCTGGTCTGGTGCACAGAGGTCCGTTATTCCACTTAAATGAGTAGACGTGAACATTTTATAGTAATACTCTGAATACTATCTCAGTTCACTGCAAACACCACGCTCTTGCATCGACTACAATACATAGCTTTTGTGTGAGGGAACATACGTGGTCCAGAGGAGCCAGTCGAGTCCCAGAACCGGGCCTGGAGTCCGGAGCATCAAAATTCTGAGCATGAAGACTGCCAAGTAAAAAACAATTACTGTTACACATCATCTGAGAACCACAGTGGATCCCAGAACCTGACCACCTGAAATAAATCTGAATGTGGCGTCTGTGACTAACCTGAAGGTAGATGGAGGCCGGCTGTCCCGTTCTGCACCAACAGAGCTCCTCCCAAACAGTCGTCTTTGTCCATCCCTGGGCGTAAACGGTCGGTGGGTGGACTGAACTCGCAGGGCCTGTCTGGCTTCACTGACTATCTCTGCACTGGTTTTCCTCAAAGCGCTGCGCCGCGGGATGAAAGGGCTGCAGACTTCATGTTTAGTCTCCATAGAGGACGCTTATACCTACGTGGCATTAGACAGGAAAGTCCACAGATGACTACAGGGTGCATCAGTGACGGGAAACAGTCAGACATCAGTTAGAACATCGTAGTGCAGGTGAAAGGTTTCTGAGGCTGCAGTGAAAAACATCCAGCATCCAGGTACTGCTGCTACCAGGAGAAGTCCTGTGTGTGACCTCACTGGAGCTAAAATATGAAGCATTATCAGAAGAAAATATCTAAGCATAAAATAATGCCACAGAATGGCATACATATAATTTAATGGGTTTTTTAATCAATTAATTGGTTAATTGTTTAGTTCATAAAACACTGTAAAATTATGTAGAAAATCTCTTTAAATTTTCCGAAGTACAAACTCACACATGAAACACGTTTTTAGTGTGATTAGCAGCACGACGTGTACAGATACAGCTGAACCCAGACGTTTACATCCACTGTATGAAAAGACTTACGAGCTTTTGTTTCTCACTGTCTGACATTAAATGTGACTGAACTTTTCCTGTTTTAGGTCAGTTAGGATTAACAAAATTATTCATATTTGCTAAATGCCAGAATAATGAGAGAGAGCCTCCACAGCATGATGCTGCCACCCCCGTGCTCCACAGCTGGGAGGCTGTTCTCAGGCTTCAAGCTTCCTCCGTTTCCCTCCACATGGTCATTAAGGCCAAACAGTTCAGGTTTAGTTCCATCAGATTTCTTCAGATGTTCCATGTTGTCACCAAAGGAAGCAGCATGTTTGAGGTGAGCCTTAAAATACTTCCACAGGTGTGCCTCCAGTTAACTCACATGTTGTCAATTAACCAATCAGAAGCTTCCAAAGCCATGACATCATCACCTGGGCTTTCACAAATAGTTTGAAGGACCTTCGTGGATGTAAACTTTTGACTTTGAAGAAAATAATAAAAAATTCTCTTTCTCATTATTTTGACATTTAGCAAATAGAAATAATGTTGGTGATCCTGACTGACCTGAAACAGGAAAAGTTTGGTCTGATTTAATGTCAGATGGTGAGAAAAAAATAAAATGATGTCTTTTTATACAGTGGATGTAAACTTCTGGTTTCAGCTGTATCTAATTTAACACAACGGAGAAAATCTATAAACAGTTGAATTCATTCAAACACACATTTTTCTTTTTAAAACATTCATAAAATAGCGATTTAAAAATATATATTTAAATACAGTCAAATAGTGTCATTTTACAGTCAAACACTGTAAAAGAACAAATTACCATCAATAATTTTTTTTTTTAAATGACACAGACATTATTCACAGTTTTGGCCCATTTTTATGGTTAACATGGAAGTTAGTTAATTTTAAAAATCTGTTATTTTATTAGCTATTATCTACAATTAAACAAAACAAGGAAGCTGTAAAATAACAGTAACATGTGCAAAACAGCAGACTAACAACAAAACTAACAACACAGCTAAAAACTGTTAAACTGAATAAATCATGAGGTTGTGAGCCGTTGTGCTCCACCATCACAGCCTCTGTGCTCCACCATCACAGCTTCTGCTCATCAGACGGTGGATCTGGAGAAACTGTGCGAGTGCATGAGAAGTCCCTCTGCGCGTTCACGCTCCGTCTCCATGGTGACAGAATGCCGCCGTGCAGCTTACACAACAAACCGAGAAACTAAATAAAGTTCACATTAAAGAGGACAAGCTGCTGGGTTCGTGTCGTAGGAGAACCTGAAGACTCCAGTTCCTCACTGACGGTGACCAGGTCCAGCTGAGGAGCTGCTGGGAGGCACGAAGAACCCGGTTCCGACTGGAAGCTAGTTTAACGGACAGAGGATAAAACACTCACCGTTAAGCCCGGTTCGGTCCTCTGTGGGCAGCAGTCAGGACAGAACGCACTCCAGATGTGAAGGCAGACCTCCAGGTCCAGAACAGAGACACCATGACACCTGGACCTTGTCATGAAGAGACAAGTTTCCCAGCAGCGACCTGCAGAGCTGATGGCACGTGAACGAGCTTGTCTGGAGCGCGCAAGGTGACGCGCGTTCACCGATGTGAGCCCGAGGCTGGTGCTGGTTTAACCTCATTACAACCAGTCCACGTGTCTTCACCAGTTCAGACGCTGTGAAGGACCAGTCCAGCTGCTCTCCACACTGGGCCTGAGATGTTCTCCTGCACCAGAACTTCCTGGTTTCAGTCATGACGGTCTTGTTTTGCAGATTATAGCTCCTAGAATAACTGCAATGAGATAATTTCTTTATTTCATAGACAAAAACCAAATCATGTTAATTAGAGTGTAAACAAGAACGTTGGACAAACCAAACACAAACATCAGAAACAACGTTATCTCCAGTCTGGGGGTGATTATTCTCATTGTCTGTACATCTGCTGATTATTCTCAGTATTCAGTGTTTCTCTAATTTCTTATTTTGTCTATAAACCAAAAACGTTCAGTTAAGAATAGTCGAGGAGAAAAAAACTCTAATTCAATAAACAGGAATCAGAGATTTTAGATAGCTAACCATTGAACCAGTTAATGATCAAAGTTTGTTTGATAGCTGACAGCTGATCGATTGATCCTTGCAGCCCTGCTGTAATCCTGGATCTTCTGCCTGACTCCAGTAAACTGGGATAATTTCTTTGGTCACAGTTGTTCATTTACAAGAGAAGTTAAACGTTCCATAAACGTTTGCTCTCACGTTATACGTTCAGCTGAAACCAGACGTTTACATCCACTGTATAAAAAGATCAAACCTGTTTTTCTCTCCTTATCTGACATTAAATGTGACTAAACTTTTCCTGTTTGAGGTCAGTACGATTACCAACATTATTTATATTTCAAGAATAATGAGAGAATTTTTTTTGAGAATGTTTTATGACTTTCTTCAAAGTCAGAAGTTTCCATCCACTAAGATCCTTCAAACTTTTAGGTAAAGCTCAGATGATGATGTCATGGCTTTGGAAGCTTCTGATAGGTTAATTGACAACATGTGAGTTAACTGGAGGCACACCTCACACATGTTGCTTCCTTTAGTGACAACGTGGAACATCTAAAGAAATCAGTCAAGACATCAGGAGGAGAACTGTGGATCTCCACCAGTCTGGTCCATCCTTGGGT